CAGTCAATGTCTCAGATCAACAATACTGAAAGTAAAATGTTTTGTAAAAGGTTTTGTTGTCTTGTTCTATGACATTGGAGTTGGTGGAGATTTGTTGCCATATTGACACCGATAAATAAATTTTGCTTAGATTTCAGAGTGGTTTCTTTCAAGAGGCAAAGATAAGTCGGAAGCGTCCTTGTTTAAGGTAAGGCATGTTCAGTTTTGTTGTGAAGCACAAGCAATTTGTTGTCCCAACTGAAATTTGAACATAGCGACTGGTTCTTGTGGCCACGACTCAATTATTCTATTTTTCTCCAACAGTATTTTATTAAGAAATTCCGTGCCATTATTGATTCAGCCTCCAGTGATACCAGACAATTGTCAATTGCAATACGAGGTTATGGTTACTTCTCAAAGGTAAAATATTTTTGTTTTTATACTAAAATCGTGTGCAGCATGTGAGAAAGTTTAAGCTGTGTCACATAATGGAGTTATTAAGATAAGGTGAAAAGTACTATTTGAAAGTAATCCATTCAACAAAATTCATGTTCATTCTCAGTTGTATAAAGGTATCAATAATAAAAAAAAAAGATTTATCAGCACCCCACAGTGTTAGTTACCTCTTTAATAGACCTTTTTACCGATACGGCGACCATATTGAATTAATTCGATTTAAGGAGTATTATAGGATGCCCAGGGGGCATGAGCACATTTCGTTTGTTTTTTCGAGCAATTTTCGGGACATTTTTTCTTAAAGTTTTCTTGGAATAAGATTATAATGGGAAAATGATCCTTGTGCTGTGTTTGGATGTAATAATGATCGCCTTCTTCTAGTTAAGTATTAGAAATATGGTCTTTCACTGTATATTTCTCGGGAAAAAGGCGTGTAGTCTTTCGCTGACCTAAGGCCAATCAATATCTCTGACTAAATATGGACACCATACGGTCGAAGTTTTGTCTTTGCCCACTCCAATTCACTCTCTTGATGTTGAGATAAATTTGTCGGTTTCTCCTCCAAGATGGTAGTAGCCGTTGGGTGAAATGCGGAAGAATTTCTGCTTCTTATCTGGTTTTAATGAAACCCTTCCCAAGTAGAATCTGCTTAAAATCCAACGTTTGTGGGCCAGGAAAAATAATGGGCCTTACTTGGTAAAATGGTAGGCAGCAAGAAAAATGGCTGACCTAGCTGCCACCTGATAATGGTTATTGACGGTATTTAAAGTGGCATATTCACCCTTATTAGGTGCTACTTGTAGCTCTTCAATATCATGATTGTTGATATATGACAAACAGAGAAATATTCCCATAGCTAGAAATAAGTTTCTAACAAGGAAATTGTATAATAAACAAAATTCAACTGTTTCAATTTTAAATGAGCTTAAACGCGTGCTTCGCTTTTAGCTGTCTGATAGATAAATGTACGGTGCTGACTATATATCTTCCAGTAGTGTCTCGCTGTCTTCACGCATTTCAATGGCAACTTTACACTATGAATCCACTGTTCAATTCTTGATTCATTTATCGGTTGCAATGTTCTTTAAAATGACCCTCTTCACATTCCCATTCCTCTAGGTTTCTAGATGAGGTAGCGATATATTGAAAATGCAACTTCTCAAAGCGAGCAAAGGCTTCTTCAATGTCCAGTAATTTTCCGGTACCTCGTTGTTGTCATCAATTTATTATGTCCCCTGCCCTTAATTTTTTTAGTTGCAGGCTGTTTGAATTTTTTAGTTGCAGGCTTTCTTGAGCACTTTTTGCATGAAAGCATTGTCTTCTTTGCCTTTCATCCCTGGACAACTTGACATTCACCTCAGATCAGAACAAAAGGAAAATATGGAATTAATAAATGCAAACTGCTTAAAAGAAAAGTACAGATGAATAAGAAAACGAGCAAAAATACAGTAAAAACTATACTTAGAAGATTTGTATGACAACTCTGGATACAACGGGCGATTTCCATGGATGAAAAAGAACACTTTCTTACTGAACTGAACTGAACTAGCAGCAATAAACATAATGAACTTATAAAAATTGACAGTAACGATTACGTAATGGGACGCCAAGAACAGAATTACAGAAAAAAAATATGCATATTGCATATTTCCAAATGTGAAAGCAAGAGTAACATCAAGAATGACAAATTCCATAATCTCTCTTGGCCACAGCAAATACAGCAAAAACCCACAAATAAGAAGCTAGAATTTCCGAGGTCAGGCTGAACAGGTTCTTATATTTTAGGGTAGTTTTTCACAATTTACACTGATTAGGTTCTTAAAAGGTTCTTATTTTCCAGAGGCTGACATAGTGTAACCAATAGCAGAAACATTGTACTACGACAAACAGTCAAGGTACAAGAAGAACATCAATGCATTTCTATATATTTTTGAATAAAATATTAAGATTTTAAATCGTCTTAATTGCACAGTAGCTTATGAAAAACACACTTCAAGTGAAAATCCAAACAAATGTAAATCAAAGAAAACATATACACAATAACCTTTTGTCAAAAGTTTCACACACAATTAAAATCGAGAATTTGACCATCAAAATTGGAGTGATTTGTTTGTATAAGAACCTATTTTTCTTTGCCAGGCTGAACAGGTTCTTATATGTTTGGGTGTTTAAATGCCAAATTTCAGCCTGTAGGTCTTATGTGCGGGCTTTTTTTTTTTAAATATAATTTTACGTTTATTGACAAAACATATATTACAGTTGCAAAATTTAAAACTAAAAGGAAGTATATATCGATATTACAGATTGGATAAAAATTACATAAAGACGAGAAGGAATAATACAGCAGTTGTGATAATACGCACAATAACGATCGATAGACCTGCTAATTACATAGTCCGGTAAGATGGATACTTACTAACTAATTGAAGGAGGGGGTTTTTCGAAATCGTATCTTCAACTGATTTTAGCCTTAAATTCATCCAAAGATAAATCCGTAGGAGCTAACTTATTTATGTACAAGTAATATTTAGCAAACAAAAGAGTAAAATCGAGCTTTTTGACAATTGCCGAAGAGCTTTGATTCTTTCTGTCATTATTAAGACCAAAAATTTATTCACTTGAGGATGGCGCAAAGGAGGTGGCATTCTTGACGTTGAACCATTTGATTACTTCTGAAAAAAACCACTTGGTCCAGTGGCAGTTACAAAAAGTACGAATTATTGAATCATTTTGTCTGCAGTAAGGACAAAGCGCATTTTTTGCAATACCATAAGTGAACAGTTCTCTTTTTGTGACGACAATTCTGTGTAAGAGTTTAAAGTAGAATTCTCTTAGTTTGTTATCTCTGCAAATATTTTTCACACGGGAGAAATGATGCCTTGCAAGTATTATTTCAGGTAGGAGGTCTCTTTCCCATTTCATGTTAGCATTTATTTCATGTTGATCTTTACTAATCAAGAGCCAGTAGTAATTTCTATTTTTTATTTGAAGTAAATCTAATGAAAGGTCTGGAAGGAGCTTTCGGACAAAATACTAGTTTTATCAATGTGGCATCTCCGTGCGTCATCCATCAGATCCTTAGGAATCGCAGAAACAACTTGCAGGTATTGTAAGAAATTACCGTTCAGTTGAAATTTCCTAAAAAATTCCGAGTAAGAAAGTACCTTACCATCATCTCCTAAGAGGTCTTGAACAAGAAAGACATTTTTATTCATCCAACTTCTTTAAAAGAATGAACGGCCGCCAATTAAAATATCTTTGTTGTTGAATAAGACAAACCGGCAAAACTGCGTATTTTAAGAAATTTTAAGTTCTAAGAAATGTATTAATATCAACTTATAGAAGTAAGGGAGACACATTTTATCAAGAAAGTTCTTGTCATAATTACAACGTGGCAGGAAGTTCAAGCCACCGTATTTATCGAAAAAGTGGTTGGAAATGACCTTCCATGATTCGTCGTCATGCGCAGGTATACTTTGTTAGAACCTGGATATCCATGCCAGTTTAAGTGATTTGGCCATGGTCTCTATGCTTGGAGCACGTAGACCACCTTTGTTATAGTCTTGGACCATAATTTTGCGTTTGATTTTGTCTCTTCGATTTTTCCAGATAAATGTAAAGATGCTTGAACCAATTGTGTTGGAAAATCGAGTGTTGAAAGTGGGTGAACTAGCTGTGAGATGCCGAGAGATTTCGTTATAAGACACTTACCAAAAAAAATGAGGTTCCTAGAGTTCCATATGCCAAGAATGATGTCAAGTTTTTGCATCTTTCCTTTAAAATTGAATTCCTCGTTTTGTTTCTCATCGTATGAAATATAGGTTCCAAGGACTCTAAACGGTTCTTTGGGCCACTTAAAGTTAAAGGGTTCGTCCTTGCGATTTCTTAATGACCCTAACCAAAGCGCTTTGGTTTTTGACGGGTTTAGCTTATAGTAGCGCAGATATGTGCTTGAATTGTTCACTTTCTGTTAAAAGCACGAAAATTGGCATGATGACAGTTTTCAAGGCGCTTAAAAAGATAGGATATGGTGCCATCGCCAAAACCACCGTTAAGGGTCATTTAAAGGGGAGTTTAAAAACGGCGGCCATTTTGAACCGGAAGTAAAAATGACACTTTCTAGAAAATGTCTGTATATTAACAACTTGGCCAAAAAATGACCGGAAATGCACAAGGTAACTGTATTTTCACATAAAAAGACACTATATTAGCTAAATTTGTACAAAAATGATAAATTACAGTTTAAAAGATAGAAATTTAAAATGAACGCGAGTAGACCGGAAGTAAAAATACCATAGTCAAAACTATCGAAGAAATGGGTCCAAACTTCATTTTTGCTAGCTGGTGTTCTTTAATTTTATCTTCACTCTGACAGTATACACATAATTTACTGTTTCTCTGGTCCAGATTCATTTCTAAACTTCAATCTTCTTGGACTATAATGCTGTATACGAATACTAAGAATAACAGGTATGTAATGTCTCATTGACTACTTACAAAATTTACTCTACCCTTCGTTCGGAGACCAGCGTTTATAATCGCAAAAGAGTCTTAGATTGTTGGCTTCAACGGTTTTCGCACTCTTCAGCACACTTGCACATAGCTGTACATCTTAGGCTGACCTTCTGACAACCACAGCCTCCTCTACAACCCTTCTTACAGCCGCACTTTACTAGCTCTTGGCATGACTTTGTTATTTCTGACAGTGTTGTCCAGAAAGGCCGCCACTCGCCACTTTCCAATATCCATCCCCAATCTTGTGGGCTAGGAATAGGTGGGTTTGGCACGAGGGCTTGTCCCCAGATGTGGCCAGCCTGGTATGCAGTACGCTTGACATGTTCTAGTAATGAATTTCGCGTCGGAGGAAGGGCGTCGAAATTTCGAGCCTTACGGGTAAACAACTGCTTTCTGGCTTCGTTTACAGATGAAGAACTGCTTGTTCTATCATAAAGTAAGACAACGAAGCGTTCAAGGGTTGACATCCACTCTTCGGCTATTTCTGTTTGAGCTCTGGACAAGGCGATAAACACAGGGGTAACTTCTGGAAAACTCTTCCAGGTGTCCAGCGCAGTCTTCTTGCTTTTCCCATAGAAACAAGACACCGTATCGCATCCCGTGAATGCGTGGAATGCAGGTAGGGCAAGTGCAGCGGTGTTATTAAATTTGTTGGCAATCTCGTGGGCTGCAAGGTAGCGAAGATGTTCCCCAGTACCAAATGCCACCCAGAGTTGGATGCTCTCTGAAGCAAGCGCCTGTAACTTCTGTACCAGAGCCACGGCCAGTACTAAGACATCAGTATCAACACTACGAACAATGATCTTGGTGAAGCCGGATTGGATAGCATCAGCAGCATGGATAAACATTCTTGTGTCGGCTTCTTCATGTGAGGATGGTGCCAGGCTGGAGGTGTCATCTCGTGGAAGGCTCGTCAGTACGCCTCTTGCATACGTAGAGATGATCTGTCTCTTACCCGAGTTAACAGAAGTAGCGCATTGCGCAAGGAATCTAAAGAGCTCCTGCTTGTTCCGATCTTCACGAAGGAATTCTTTCCAGTTTCTTGGAAGCTTATTATTAGCTGCGACTAGTTGTCGTACTCCTGATCCACGTTTGCTCCGAGTTGTTGCTTTCAAGCTGTTCTCCACGTATTCGTCCCAGACAATATCAATGCGTTTCACATGTTGAAGCTGAGCGGTGACATAAGGAATAAACTTATTTGAGGCATATTCGGAAAATGTTTTCTCTTTCCCCGTGGGCTTAAGCATGTTTACCAGTACTGCTCCGTCCATAATAATGACTTCACAATTGGCTGGGGCTGCATTCTTGGGAGTAGTTAGAGCTTGAAGACAAGAGGCTAACTCAGACTTTTGTCGAGGGAGGCGCAAATTTCCTTGATCAGATATCGATGGGGGGCATGCTTGATTTTCATGTTTAAAAAATTCATCCAAGTTACCATTTCTGCTCTGGCATGCAATAAACAGTCGTGAAAAAAGAGAACAGTCGCTTTTCATAGAGGAAAGCTGCTGTTGAGCCTTTGAAATTTTCTTCTTGGAAGGAGTTTCAAAGACGGAGAGCTTGTTTCTACTAATAGGGTCATCGAGAGGCTTCGTCCGCTGTATTAGGCGCTCTGAAATGAACGTGTCACACTGCTTTACGCCAAGATCCTCTATTTGCTGCATTCTTGATACCCCTCCTTCGTCTGCCACCACCTTTGTATCTAACACGATCAGGTCTTTGCCCTCTTCTTCAAAAGGGTTCCCAAGGTCGTCAAGTACATCCACGAGTGACCTGACATCTTTGTGGTACGCTGCTTGATAACCCCTCTCAGCTTCATGATGGTTGTTTGTTTCAGGTCTAACTTCAGGTGCCATGCATGCCTCGAACTCGTTGACTAGCCGTGCCATCTCAGGACCGGATAGCATCCACCTGCGAAGTGCGCTGGCATTCTCTGTCAGACCCACAGCCCCTCCGTCATCCTTGACCATAGCATTGTTCTGCTTGTGGGCCTGATCAATAGCTATACAAGAAAATCTTCGACGGGTTTTTGTGACGGTGAACAAACCCTGCTTGAATGCCTCTGCTACTGCTGGTGCCTTACTGTCGAGTTCGCGCATATCGCGTACATGTATAGGGAGCCAACGGGCATAGTTGGTATGGTTTAAAGCAAAGAACCACGGAAGCATCTTGTAAACTGCATCTACGTACATGCCAAAGTCAGCAAGGCGGAGCGACTTTAGAAAAACAAGGAGAAGAAGCTCCAGTTGAAGGGCTGTATGCCAGTACTGAAACTGGGGTACTTTACGTCTCTGATGGTTACACCACTCGTCAAAGGAAAGGGCACCATTACCCATTCCATCTACGTACCTATCACAAGTGAAACATTTTACTAATAAGTTTTACGATGTAACAATCCATTGATAACATAATTATCCTTATTTTAAAGCCTTAAACGGCAATACAGGGATAAAAAAATCCACCCCTTTTTATTTCCATCAGCCATGCATGTAAGAAATTTTATACAGAGCCGCAAGGGGGTTGCTTATCGCGCTCATATCAAAACTCGATATTAACTAATATATCTGTTGGCTGTTTTCGGTGCTTCTTTTGTAGAGTCTCGAGGACAGAATGCAGTTGTTCCACGCTCTGCCTTTAGCCAGCTGGATTACGTCCCCGAAAGTTAAGATCCTTAACCTTGTTGAGATTTGAGTGAAGTGTTTGTAAAGCTAGTTAAAGCAGCAATGTGCAGCTCAGCTGTAACTAAAAACATTAAGATTTTCCCACCAGTTTTACCATTGAAATGATATATTTACCTCTGATACGCTCTCTTTAGAAGAATAAATAAGGAGCAAGCTGTCACCTGATGAGCCCTTCGAGTGCGCGTTACATTTGTGGCCTTGAGAAACGAATTAGCAGTTCCTGGCGTAGCAACGTTTGCATCTGAAAGGACCACTGTCCACCCACTTCCCTCAAGCCAATCTCCTAGCACCTTCAGAAACGCCATCTCGATGTGGAGTCCACCGAATACTACAACGAATTTATCCTCGCCGTAATGACTAGCCCATCTCCACTGGATTTCTTTCGCTACAGCATATAATGGCTGATCTACGGCAATGACTGGGACTTGACCTGGATTCAGATGATCTACGGACAGTTTTATCACGTTCATGGCATGTCTTATCATTGCAACCGATTTTGCCTGATCAGGAAAAAGTGGCAACAGAGCAGAAACAGCAACCGACGAAGGAGGCACACAGTACGGTTGGTGAGAGTGAAATGCAGCCCAAGAGACTTGAGTTTTCTCTTCCAAACTTTCTTGGTTAACCACAATAGTGCTAGCCTTCTCTAACCATGTGGATTCATCTTCAAAGCCGCGATTAAATGAGCTTTCATCCGACTTCATCTCTGATACGTTGGCTGGTGGCTGGGCTTTACTTGTAGTTTCTTGTACCGGAATGACTTCTGTGTATGACGCTGGCAGTTCTTTTATCGATTTCTCGCTATCAGCATTTGTTGCGATATTTATCGGTGCTTGTTCAGTACCAGGCGTAACTGCCGATGGATGCTGGAACAAAGAAATGCCTGTGCCGTGGAAGGAGTCTTTTGATGTTGTTGAGCTCGGATTATGATCAATATTGTCCACGGCAGCTGTTGTAAAGAGACCCAGACGAAGATTAGACGGACACACTGCACCTTCTTGCCAGTAGCGGCGACACACTTCATTTCCAAGATCCGTGGAGATGCTCAATACCCTGTCATATGAAATAGAGATTCCAAGTTTATGTAAGATTTCTACGAGGTCACGGCAGCGTGTCTTGGCATGTACAGATACTCCAACATAGATTGGAACTGGAGACTCTCGAGATTTATTTCGCCTTTCCTTCTTAACATCTCCTTCACGGCGACGGAGATAAGTATTGTACTGTACTAGCTGTGCGATGGTAAGAGCAGCCTGCCCTTCTGAAAAACTACCCTCTTCAGCGTTGATATTTGGACCATACAGGATCATGTTAACAAAGGATAACAAGGATGCTGGGATAGAACGCAGTTGACAGTCTCGTTCGAAGGACCCATTAAATGAATACTTATTTGTAAGTATGTCTTTACGGACAATCGCAGCTGCCTTCGCAAGGTGTATGGCCTCATCATCAGAATCTTCTTTATGGACCTTGTGAAGTGCATTCCCAACGTCCTCTCAAATGCCAAATATACATCGCGTCCCTTATTGTAAGGTTGGAGATCAGGAACCTGAGCAATTATACGTTCTTTAAGGCGTGAACTGTTTGGTCTTGCGGTGTTCTCCATCCCTAGCTGCTGCAGGCGATTGGTATACATCTTCGCTAGGTCTGCTAGCTTAAATGTAGGTAGCTCTCCCCCGCTATTCGTGCGCGACTCCTCTATACACGTCACGAGATCCGCCAAGGCAATACCTTCTAGACGATGTGGCTTTTCATCTCCTCGCACGGCATCTCTTTTTGCATATTCTGTACTCCTGTACAGCATAGAAAGACAAGAGGCGTGGTAGCTCGCCTCAAGAGCGATCAAATCCTCGCCACCAAGCTTAGCTAACAACTTTTCGTCATTCAGTACATTTGCGCATTCCCGAACGCTAGCATCGAGACTAAGGGTCGAAACCCTATGAAGTGGTTGTTTATCAGATTCGCATAAAAAACAAGATGGACTAGTGTCCTTTGTGTATGCCAATGCATTTGAGCGAGTAAACTTTCCGCCAGCTGGCGGCTCGTCTGGGGCTTCAGATTTTCTTTTTTGGGCTCGTTTCAGTTTTGTCGAGTTAAAAAGAGCATAGCAACTTTTGTGATAGCGGGCCCTATGTTTGAAGAATGCAGCCGCAATGCCGTCGCCTTCATCTAGTCGCGATAAATTTACGTCCTTGGGCATGTAACCCAGATCAGCAAACTGTTTCAAATTGTCTGCAAGTGTTTTATAGCCTGCACCTTTATCTGCTCGCCTTGAGTCCGCGGGGCACTGAAGTCCTTCCTTGTTTGATTCTTGGCAGATAACGCAGAGCTCCCAATCGGTCACATTACGATTGCAGTCATCCATGAGGCTGTTTGAAACAAAATAAAGTTATTTAAATTAGATAAAACTAATCGTTTCGCCACTTTAAAAGTACTTGTATCTAAAGAGTTAAAAGTTCATCTGTAGTAAGTCTGATTTAACATTCCTTACAAATCTGGAACTTAAATGCTAAAGTCCCTGGTTTGGTGGTGTATTCGTTATGAAAAAAAAAGGTAACACGTATCCAATTCTGAATTGAATATTTTTGGATTACGGTAACTGATGCGCTAAACATACGTTAAATACATAAGAACTGTGATATGGGGAGGCATGAATACGGAAAACGTACTCCAGTGTAAACGTACTCTAATTGTTCTCAATACTTACAGTTGATAAGGGCTTCTATTCCATGACTCCGTGCAACAGAGAACGCTCAAGTTGTTCAGCAAGAATCCTCTAGCTTCAGTTTAACCTTTCCTCTGTTGTCTTTGGAACATAAATTCATCATCTAATTGCCACTTCCCCACTCCTGGAATGAAGCATCGATCTAGCTGTTCTTGATGCCTGATACTTACAGCTCACCTAGAGGAGCTAGGTCGGCGTTTACTTCACTTTTCGTTTGTTTTTTCCAAACTTTGATAAAGGTAACTTATTTTGTATAATTGTCAAATTATCAGATGTTACGGCAAAAGCGATTTATTCGAATTAGTACAAGCACAACGAGATATCCACTTAGATGAAACAAAATGGCGGAGCTGATATGCAAATTAGTTTCGACGCAAAGCATTGTGGTTACTATTAGGAATCGTGGCAAAGGAAATATGGTAAATGGGATTCCGGATGGTATTCACTTTTTATATATCTATTCCTTCATTGTTTTCAAAAAATATGAATTGTGATATTATTACATTCTGTATAAAGAATTGCTTTTTAAACTTTCAGTTAATATTGCTTTTACTCCTGTTTTTCCCCTTAAAAAACAATATTTATACACATTTGAATATTTTATACAAATAAAAACATCGGGAAAAACACAGTTTAAACTATTTCATCATCATTTTTGTCTAAATATCCGCTTTTTCATGTACTTCCGGTTAGGTGCTTCACTACTTCCGGTCAAAATGGCGGCCATATAAGAAATCGGTCCAAAAAACCGGTTTAACAGGAAAAATTGCGATGGCACCATATCACATATTAATCCCCATGTTTTTTCCTATATTTCCTGAAAATTTGGTGCTTTTAACAGAAAGTGAACAATTCGGCCCCAAATCTGCACATATCTGCCCCACTATTAAGGCCAGATAGATTTCCAAAGGAATTAAGAACCGTGATAGCTTGATTGACCGAATTGCAATCATTGCATAAAAGAGTTGTATCGTCGGCAAGCTGGCTTAGTTTCAGCTCTTTTTCAAAGACTGTTATTCCTTTTATTGTTTTGTCTTGTCTGATTTTGCACGCTAAAATTTCTGCCCCTACGATAAATAAATATGGGGACAAAGGGCAACCTTGCCTCACTCCCCTCGACAGTTTAAAGAAGTTTGTGCAAAATCCATTGTTAAGAACAGCGCTCTCCGAATTATTATAGAAAGTCGAGACCCATTGTTGTATACTGTCTCCAAAATTAAAGAGTGCGAGGCTTCTTTTAATGAAGCTCCATTCGATAGTATCAAAAGCTTTACAAAAATCAAGCTGTACAAGAATACCTGGAATGTTTTGTATTTTTGTTTGTTCTACTACGTCGTTGACCAATCTAATATTTTGCCCAATGTATCGGCCTTTCAGAAAGCCTGTTTGGTCAGGGCTTATTAAGAGATCCAAAACCTTTTCAAATCTCGTGGCTATGACTTTTGATGCAATTTTAGAGTTAACATTTAGTAACGTGGTCGGACGCCAATTTGCAATCTTTAGGAGGTTGGCGTCTTCTTTTGGGAGGAGAAATATTACACCTCTTCTCTGCGAAATTGGCATTTCGCCTTTCACATAATATGCCTCATTAAAACAGTTTACTAAGTCCTGTCCTAGCAGATCAAAGAAACAATTATAAAACTCCCATGTAAAACCGTCCTCGCCTGGTGATTTCCCGTTACTGAAAGTCCGCAGTACTACTTTGCACTCCGCCAGTGTAATTTCGCCTTCTAATTCGTTTCTCTGTTGGTTTTGGAGTTTAGGAGTTTTTAGACCTTGTACAAACAAATCGAACCAGTCATTTTCGTCTAATCCGGAGTTATACAATTGCTTATAAAAGGTTTCAATTTCGTTTAATATTTCGTCCTCATTAGTCAAGGTTGTACCTTCTGCTCCCTCCAGCTTTTTAATTGACTTACGATTGTAATTCCTCTTCTCTAGGTTGAAAAAGAAAGCGGTCGGCTTTTCACCTCTTTCAATCCATTTACATTTGGAACGTATAATACTTCCTTTACCCTTCTTTTGATAAATGAGATCGATTTCTTCTTTTAAATTATTATATTCGTTTATGTCATTCTTAATACAGTCTGTATTAGGACTGTTAGAAATGACTCTGTCAAGCACTTGTAGTCTATTTTGAATGTCCCTTTCTCTTTGGTGTAACTGTTTAGCTTTATTTTTAGAGAAAGGAATAGTAATGCCCATTTCAGCCTTTTGTCTTCAATTCCTGAGTATTTGTTTTGGATGACAGCGTAGGTGTCAGTGATCAATTTAACATAAATTTCGTCTTCTAACAATGAACTATTAAATTTCCATAGCCCAGGGCCTCTATTGTCATTTTCCAGTTGCAGTTGGACTCTAATTGCTTTGTGATCAGGCGCGATGGAAACTAAAGTGTCCAAATGAGAAACTCGATCTGCAAGGGGTTGCGATACGAGGAAAAAATCAATGCGAAAAGAGAGTTTTAAAGCTTTGGATTCGTAGGTGAAACGAAGCTTACTTGGATTAAGATTTCTGTAGACATCAATCAGTGAAAATTCTTTCATTATGGAAATGAGTTGATTGCTGTATGAGGTGGGTTTCCACTGGGACCCACCTTTTTTGTCAACAGCTTCCAGGGTAACATTCCAATCGCCGCCAACAATGAGATTTCCAATGTCTACATTTGTTATCAAAAAGTTATTCACATTGCGCAAAAAGGCTAACTGTTGTTGTAGATCGTTGGGGGCATATATGTTGCACAATGAAATATTTGCAGAGCCGGAGCTCAGGTTAATTGAAATGATTCTTCCATTTTGGTCCCTATTGAGACTTTCAACAGTATAGCTGCATGAAGGGTTAATTAAAATACAAACACCACGGCTGTGTGTTGATCCATGCGAAAAGAAAATGTCACCTCCCCATTCATTACTCCACGTATTTGCGTCATCAGGAACTGAATAAATTTCTTGTAGGAAATAGAATTGACAATTTTTTTATTTTTATTTAAATATACTGTTTCTTTTGACGCGATTTCTCAAACCCCGAACGTTAAGTCACAAGATACTGTGTTTACTTATACCGTTACTGTAGGATCAGGGGTATGGGGAAAAAAAATAACCAAGAGAGGATCTGATAATTAACTGGACGATGATCAGGAGAATAACTACAAAAGCATATACGTAAATAAACAGGAAACAAGATCGGAGACATAAAGTACTTATAACAGAAACAAAAAGCAATGTTACATTGGAAGCAACCTCTTGCATGCTAAATTTCTTTCAATTCCCTTCCCCTGTAGCAGAATTACAAATTATCTAGATCTTGTAAGCAGTGGATTCTTACTGATGAACCCGAGGGTGAAGTCTTAACAAAAATCTTACCGCCAATTGTCCACACACTAACGAGCAGTCCATTTTTCCTCATACCATTTGCTTTTTTGACAACACTACGTCGGTAGGCTGTGAGGTTTTCGTTTAAGAAGATACGATTTCCTCGTCCTAGTGAAGTAGCATAATTTGACGTGGGAAACAGATGATTTGAGCTGGTGAGGAATTTCGATGTCACTTGGAGAGGTCGGCACATCCAATACCTCTCCCATCTTTAAAACAACATCCTCGGTTGTGGTGTAAGCTTCTTGAGGGATGCCATGGATTTCTAGAGAGTTTTTACGCGTATATTGCTCCACCTCTTCCAAGTCAAAGTCAATTCTATCTTTTTCCTCGGTGACTGTTTGCAATTTCTGCTTTGTAAATTGGTGCTCCCTTTTAAGCTCTGCATTCTCTTTTGAAGTTTGTTCCAACGTGGAGTCCAGCTTCTTCCACTTTAGCATTTCGTCTTTGAGAGTTGTTTTTAAATGCATTACTTCCTCTCTAAGGCTAAGATTCTCCTGTTTTATTGTCGATAAGGTTTCTTGAATATTGGATAGCATCCCTTTTAATTCAGTTAGACTCGTCTCAGGTTCGGAGCTGTCGTGGGAAGGAGAAGAAGGAGAAGCTGTTGCGTTGCTGGAGTCCGCCATGATTGGACGTTTCGCGTCGTTCGTTTCGTCTTCTTCAACAGATCCTCTGGCTCCTTGTTTGGTTTTTTTACCGCTTTTCGTCACTAACACTAGGTTGATTATAATATCATGTAAGATTCTACCTTCATTTCTCACAGTTCCAGGCACATTTAGGAAGGGAGCGCTCCGCTTCAAAATACAGGTCCGAACCGTTTGCGCTCACGCGTGCTGATCCATATGTGCGGGCTTTTACTGTATTAACAATATTGAAGCCTCCCTACTACAGTGACTTAATTTCTTCGTAAACTACTCTGCCACAACCCTCAAAGTTAAAATTTTTGTTCAGTGGCCATTTGGCGATCAGCTCTTTGGGTTTAGTTGCCAGGGGAAATTTTTAGGCGCCAAATTATATTAATAAGTTAATATATCAAAATTGTCCTTAACAAAAGTAGTTAGCAAGTTTAACTTAAAATGTAGCACTGTCTATAAATTACTCGTTTATTGTGCAAGGCATTAGTTACTGATAGTCTGAGAATAAGGTTTGCAGATTCATCTCCTTGAATCAATGCTGAAACGGAATTGTAAAGACAATTACCATTTCCAGTTGTCTTTAGGGCCTTCAATCCTTCTGTATAATCTCCAGTTGGTATATGAGAGCAGAACTTAACTCATCCTCTGTTAATGTGTTCAAAATTTCCCAGTCGCAACTTGATAAGCGACCTATTTTTTTTTTTCTGATATTTGTTTCGCATATCTTTTGCGACTTTTGTTGATGATGAACTTGTTTCCCCACCTAACAAATATTTTTGGAGATTTAAAAGGGCGTTTTTAATATCGCTAGACATTGCGAAAGCCTGACAAAGGCAGGAGAGTATAGGAAGATCGACAAGTTTTCTAAATCAAATCATTGCTTTATAGAGATAACGTCGCGCACTAAAAAATACTCCGCAACGAGTTGTACTGGGAAAAAATGTTTTTCCCAATCAATTGAAATGAACCCAAACAAAAATGCCGCTTACGAAATAATAAATTTTCTTTTCCCTTTATCATCGCTATAGGTGTTAAAAAAAACATTTTTTGCAACAACCATAAGCTGTCAGTTTTGCGATGTTTAGTTTCGCTTACAATCATCGCATTTGTTTACAAAACCGCGATTCAACTCGCAGCACGGTTCACATGTTACGGTTATCACATAATGTTCTGTGTTGAATTTGCACCAATTTAGCTCTTCCTCTTCATGTTATTAGATTGTTTCAGTATTGATTCAAAAATATTTATAATATGTAGTCCAGTGAAAAAACCACCGAACTTGGCTAGACAAACATTCCTAAGATATCGAAGAAATCGTCACTGTCGACAAGCAAGGCGCTTCGATTGCGTGCCATTTGTCACGTGTCAAAAGTTAAAATGTCACGTGCAAGGCAACAGACTGAAGGCGATTAGGCGAACGAATGCAAGTCAAGTTTCATTGATGTTCATTTTCAAAACGCTTAGCTCTGGGACTTTTTTAAGTTTTCAATTTATTATATAGCATGTTTTTCAACGGAAAAGTAAAAAAGTGATGTAATTCAAACCAGCTAGAATAAATGTTCTTCAGATTTCAGTAGAAGTGATTACCATTTCTGTTTCTATACGCCACAACACGAACCTGTTCTTCACGGTCGCCAGCTTGGCAACTATTCTCCAAATCAACTCGCCAGTTCCAAAATTTTAGGCGCCATGGCGACTAAAATGGTCGCAACTTGGAGGGTTGTGCCATTGACCGTTGGTGTCAGTTTTGCTTACTTTTCTATGAATTAAGATCATTTAACCAAGTAAATTCTCAACTAAACCTAACTTAAGTTGAGTAACAACAACAAAAATGATCTTTATTTTTCACAAAGTTAAAGTTTAAGTTTCACAAAACAGCATGGGCCTGCAGGTGCTAATGTTGGCGGGTTAGTCAATTTACATGTAGGGAATAACAAGTGTATCAAATTGATCTTTTAAAGTGAAAATTTTTATTGCGTGATGGTCGTGGTCCCAAAAATCAGGCATGTAAGGAAAATTCGTTTTTGTCTTGTTATGTCAACAGCCATGCAAACTGTTCATGAAAGCTGAAGATGTGAAGTTCATGTTCAGTGAGATGATGCAGAGAAGTGAGCAGATTTATCTGAGGTAAAAATATCACATAATTGAACACAGAATTGCTTTCATAATATCTCTTTAAGATTTTGTTTCATTCACATTTAGACAAGGAGAACTGTTGGAAGATAAAGTGCAGCACCTTCCAAGCTTTCTGGAGGCCTTGTCTTGCATTGTTGAAGAATTGGATGAGGTAGGGAGCGCAATGTAGAAAAGAGAGGGTCTTTATTTCACCTGTATGCTCTATTTCCATATCTTTATCTGTATTTGTTTTCGCTGTTTGCAAGCGGGCAGAATTCTCCAAATCTTGCAAACTGATTGGTTCCAAGAGGGCTGTTTTTTTTACAGTCTTGCCTTTAAAAACAGCGAATGATCAAACTGTTGTAACAGCTTTATTCCCAAGTTTGTTTCTTGTTTGAATGAGCTTAAGCTGCGATCTTTCTTTTAAATTTTTGCTTTTTTGCTGGCCAGGAAAAAGTGAATTGTATTATTGAGACAAAATAGTCTGTCCCTTGCATGATACGGGTCCTATGCCCGTAGTTCCCAATGAAATTGCCTTGTTCACTAGTCAAGTTGCCCAGGGGTGAGCTCTGCAAGGTCATAGGTGTGATAGCTATTGGGAATTCAAAACTTTTTTGTGTGTGCAAGACCGTGGAATATTTATTGCCTAGTAAGTCCACTACGAAAATTTACACTTGTGCAATACCATAAACCAATTCAAAAGCACCAGTTTTGATTTTTGTTTTAGCAATTTTTCTTTAGTCAGCCTACGTTTCTCTGTGTAACTGCAGGTGAGGTGTAGGCTAATTAATCTTTTAGTTTACCTCTGTTACTCAATTAACACTTTAATGGCAGTGAGTGACTCAGTTTTTTTTCACAAATGTACAGATTTCCGATTCTGTTCTTGTCTCTCTGGAGAAACTGGTAGTGGTGCTATTTAACAATTTTACCAGGTTGGGCAAAGGTTCTAAGTTCCTTTGTTGTAAGGCCCTTGTGAGAGTGCTCTTCAACCTTTCCTGGAAGGGTGCAGTTCTCAGGAAATTTCTTTCAGAAGTTGGTATGTATTAGTAATTTCCTTTGTATAATGAATCTTTGAATTATTTCATGGCGTTTAACTAGGTAGTCTTATGATGCCATTCATTAAGGTGGCTGAACACAATTTTGGCAGTTTGTGAGTATATGTCACTTGCCAAATCATGGCAAGAGAAAGGTTACAGCTCACAAGCTGAAACTAGGCAAGTGAAAAATATGCTGATGAAAGATTTTGATTGACAGGTAAAATTTGACATTTTTGTAGTTTCCATGGCAACATGAACGATTGAATACAACCTTAAAATTTCACTTTTGCTCAGGTTACATAAATTTTGCTCATAAGATTTTCCTATAAACTTGCACACAGCTCTCTATAATTAATTATTACCATTTGAAATTTATTTGACCAACTTTTAACAGATGGGTTTTAGATAATCAATAATATAATTGTACTGTAATTATTAAATGTGTCGCAAAATTCCTCTATTCAACTTCCATTAAAAATTTCTCATTATTTAAAGTGCGACAAAAGTAAAAATTTTGCCAAATATCACAAAATTTTAATGAGTAGATTTTGAGAAATTGTCTTCTGTGTAGCAGTGCTTTTTTTGCCGCCATGTTTGTATGTCTAATTTAAAACACACGCCGTCACACGAGTTACCGTTGACCACCCGCAAAACTGTGTTCAGCCACCTTAAGTGAGTCAGTTTCCCAGTCTGTCTCTAAGTTTGCCCTCGTAGAAAAGCAAACAAGAAATTTTCAGTTTTTCCCAAAACTCTTTAATTGTTTCTGCAAAAGCTCGTTCATCAAGGGCCTAATGTAATCATTGTAACAGTTACAGGAAATTGTTTCCCGGTACGTTCTAAATGATAAGATTTAGGACAGTTATTGCATTGGCAGTAGAGAAAGCTTACCACGAGAATTCACCAGATTTTTTCTAAACTACATTAGAATTCTGATTGTCCATCATGATCAAAGCGATTGGCTCAAATTATAGTGAATGGTTGTGGAGCGATTAGTCTAACCCTTCTTTATACTTCATCTGCGTATGGGCTTCTTAAAGTCAATACTGAAGATGCAAATTGTTCCAGAATGTGGTCAGGATCGAGCTCTTATCGGTGGATGTGACCATCATTTGTTTTTCAGTTATTGTTTAAGAATCACTGGGTTGAGGCAAAAGTTTTAAAATGATCAAATACACAATGTGCCAAAGTCACCAAAAAATGCTCTAGGAATATATTTTCTTTGCTGGCGCGAAATCGCCGCAAAACGCAATCGCCACTTACCAGGAAAAACAAAAACATACAAACTGACATCTGGAACCCTATGAATATCAGGCAAGGTCTGTAAACATTCGTTTTCGTCATCAGTTTCGAACTTTTGAAGCCGACACTCAAATGTCTCTCGCAAAATGTGTCCAGATGTGAAGAGCGATGGGAGGCGGCTGTATTTGCAGGCTAGTTAGGGCCAACTTGCTGCCTGCCTAGTGGTTAACTAAAGCCTTTTATTTTTTCCAGTCTACCAGTGCCTTATAAGAACTTGTTCCCATCCAGTCTCCCTTGAAGAGGTAGGGTTTGGCTTTGATATCAGCTGGAATAAATAATTCTCAATTGAAGTTGGAATTTATTAAAGAATGTAAAAGAAGTATTCTAGTTATATTTCACTCTGTTTCTGAATGTTTTAAGGTTACTGAAATGGCCACATCAGCAGATGGTAATGCAGTCGATTTGCCATCTCCTCAAATATCATACAAAGATTACTTGGAACTCTGGGAATTTCTTCTAGAGAAAGATAAATTTAAGGTATCAGTATTCACTACTGAAAGTTTTCTGCTGTTAATTTTTTCACTCGTCTCTTCTGGGAAT